AAAAATCCTGGATCCGCCCCTGCTTTTTGCCGGCACAAAAACAATAAAAACGTTAGTAAGTATTGATTGCAATCTATTGAATAACCACCATTTCCGTCATTTAGTCTGGGATAGGGTGTACAATTCTTAGTTTTAGTCTGGGGTAGGGTATGTAAAATCAAATTTTTAGGTCTGGGATAGGGTCAGGGTTTTGAGGTCCTGGCAGCACACCCCTACCCAAGTTGGGATGGTAGAACCCCCCAGGCTACGTGCTAAATGTCCAGTCATTTGTGACAGGCACGTAGCCTCGTACCGAAACCTTTGTGCGTGACAAGCGAAGCATATCTCGGAAGTGAGCTATTCAAGGGACCGTAGGGATCCCACTACCACTGAAGATAAAAGAGATCCATAAAAAATAATTACTTGATTTTTCTGGTTGTCTGTTCTTGGATTAATTTGTGTATTTCAAACCTCCATATATTTGTTATAGAATTATATCAATCTATGGTTAAAATGCAGTATTTGGAAATAGATGAAATACATCTTAGAAGAGGGCACATATGCATAGATGCTACAGCACTTTCTTGTCCAACATTCACTTATTCTTGCAAGAGCAGATCCAGGCGCCAGTTCAGGAAGGGGGGTTGTGATCCTGTGCATGGACATTGACAAAAGACAATGACTTTAGTTGCAATGATAGATGTGAATAATTGTCCAAGTTGTTTTTTACAAAAAATATTTACAGATCTTTATCATTGCAAGGTCTTTGTGCTCTTAATTTTTGTTGTTTAATCCCAAGATTAAATTTTGCCACAGGTTTAAAGTAATTTTGTATGCAGTATAATACATTCAAGAACCCCTACCCCTCTCAAAAATACCTCATGACACCAGCCTTATCCTGAGCTAATTATTTTCCAATAAAGCACCCTATGAATATAACTTTACATTTCCCTGAATCTCCTCTAGTGATCATGAAAGTTTAGATGATAAAAATGTAAAAGCTAAAAAAAATAGTAATAATAAAGGCGAATCACATTTCACTTTGTCTCAATGCACTTTTTATTTATGATCAGTGGACCTTACGAGCTGCATCAATCAGCTGATAAAAGTCTTTGAATCTCATTATCTGCCCATAATGGTGGTCAAACACTGATCACCATGTGCTGTCAGCCAGAAAGAATTCTATTGAAAAAACTTGTGTTTCATCTGACATTCTACACGAGACACGAAATGATGTCAAGTGAAACCCAGTGAAGAAATTTAAGGAGGTAATATAGAGGTTTTGCACCATAATACTCACACACCCATGCCAATAATACAGCTTGGGTTGTCTGTAGTTAGATGGCAGAACAATAAAATCCCTTAACTCTTAGGAATAAAATTCTTTATGTTAAACAATTGTATTGTTCCTGCCATCTAACATGGCTGCCGTCACATGATGGTGTAAAAACCTAAATAACCTATAATAATTTTTAAAGAACACTAAAGAGCACACCATGGAATTCATGAAACAAAACAGAAAATGTATTGCAATAATAGCAGTTATAGCAACTATTTCTCAATGATCGGGTAATATTTCGAGGCTTTATTTCACGTTTCAATGATTTTATTGAAATTTTTGATGAATCTCCATACATTTCCTTATAACAGGACACCACAGAAACCAAGCTTGGCTACCTGTGCTATGACGTGACGTCACGTTCATTATCCCAACGTGTAGCTTGGACTCCTTGCAGCTTGTCAAAAATCAAAAGAACATATAAAATTGGACGGGAATTAGAAAGATAATTGAAAATGTCATTTAAAATATTAAAACAAAATAACTTAATAATGAATGAGTTAAGAAATAAGGGATTGGATTTAAAGGTTWAAATGTATGAACGTTTCGCTTGACCTGTCCCATATGACGTCTTTGGGAAGATCTCTGCGAGCTGTTCACATGTTTACTCTTAGCCATAGCTCACAACGACTGAACARAAAGCTAGGAAACAGGGACAAGGCCTTGAACCCAGCATGTAAKRWAACTTACGACTGAGCTCTCTTTCGCTTTCAAAATCAGCCATCAGTGAGGAGCTTCAAGCGATCTTGCTTCTCCTCTCACTAGGAATTCCTTCGCAGGACCTGCTTGAATGGAATGACTTCCCCGTGCGATGAAAGCAGGCCAAAACACCGCTCAGTGTGCAATGAAAGTCAWTCAAAGTACTATCAATGAGATCGATAGATGTCCTTAGGGTTAGAAAGCTGCATATAATACAGCGAGATTAAAGGAATAAAGCAGCAAGAGAACGTAACAAATTGGCGCAAAGGATTATATACTGAATGGTCTTGAGGATGGACCAATCAGATGACTAGTTTCATGTCTCACTTAAATTTCCGGAATATATCCGGGCATTTTTACGGAAAATACCCGAGTGTATGCCGACTGAGCTAATAAACGAATATTCCCCGACTTTCATTAAATTTTAAGTGCAAATCACTACATTAGAATGTAAATATTTTATATCTTTTATCTAAAATGCTTTCCTATTTGTTTTTTCTTAGTGCAAACAGGTAAGGTACCTGTGATTGTAGATTCCAAATATTAAGCTTTCCCTTTGGGCTTCCTCCGGTTTTCAGCTTTACTCTGAAACAAACTGATTTGAAGATATTCGTTAACAACTTTTTTTTCAATGAATTTATGTAATTATTAAAAATTATCGGTTAATGCAGCTTAATTCTTTG